CCAGCCAGCAAGCCAGCCAGCAAGCCAGCCAGCAAGCCAGCCAGCAAGCCAGCCAGCCAGCAAGCAAGCAAGCGCGCCAGCCAGCAAGAGGAGGGACTTGCCCCCAGTGACAGGCAAACGGTGGAGGCCGCCAAAATTTGAGACGCGTTTTGAGCTCCAGAGTCGCGAAACAGGACTCGAACCGAACGTGTGACCCCACCAATGGGTTCCTCCTTCGGAGAGCAATCCATTGGTGGGGTCACACGTCCGGATCGAGTCCCATTTAGCGACTCTGGAGCTCAAAACGCGTCTCGAATTTTGGCCGCCTCCACCGGTCGTCTGGTCCACTGTGTGGCCGGACTGCCATCTCTGCGAGGGCAACAGTGTGGGTAGCGCGCACAGCGCAGCGAGCGGGGCGCACCGCAGCGGCCCTTAGCCGCGCAGCCCCACGCGCCACAGGGCGCCACAGGCCCTCAATGCTCGATGGACTTGCAGTGCAGCGCAGCCGCAGTCGGGGGCCGAAGCCAGGGCAAACCGCACGCAATCATGCGCGCAAGGGCTGGCTGCAATCACGTGTAGCCAGCCCTGGAATTCCAGTGGGACGAGTCCGCAAGCATCGTTTCCAAATACCAGGGCCGCACCGTGGCGTCCGATCGTTTCCTAATACCAGGGCGGTAGCTTCCGGGCCCCCCGCCCCCTCTCCCCTCCTCCCTGGCCAGTGAAGGGCAGACGAGGGTAAGGGATTTCCAAGGGAAAGCCAGATGCAAACAATCCACAGACATTCAAAAGCACGGTTACTACATCCGTTAAAAGGGTCGCAGATTACCACAAGAACCGCAAGTTTTCTCGCTACGCTCGCAAACCATTCGCGTTCACCGCCCTTTTGAAAAGACGAAAAGACACCTGCGGAGCGCCCTGACAGCCAGACACCCCCTCCCCTTAACGCGCCCGACTTCCGTCGAGCAATGAGAAAGATGCCGCCAGAAGCCAGAACCACTCAACCAGCAGAGCAGGCGCGTGAAGCGTTTGCAGGAAATGACAAAATGTCCCCGTCGCAGTGTGCCTTGCTGGGGAAAGGGGGGCGCGTGGTGCATAATGCACTCTAAATGTTGTACCGTGAAGATTCTCCATATTATGGTGAAAATGTTCCATATTATGGTGGTGCAGCTGACTTCGTAACATAGCATTGAGAATTCACTGTACCTTACATAGATTTTGACAAATTTCGTTGGTATTATGGAGAAAATGTACACCGTATTATGTTGATGCAGCCTTTCACCGTACGACATTTACTGTGTGGCGGTGGTGCGGCGGTCTCCGCCGGTCTCCGCTGGAGTACCGGGATGCCTGCCCACGGCCAGCTTACGCCGGTGCGGCGCTGGTATCGGCTGAGGCAGTGGTCAGCCCAGCGGGACGAGCGGTCTCTGCCACCGCAGCAGCAAAGCTCGTGCCGGCCCATCCCAGATCTTCAGTCTCCTCCATTCAGTCGAGCGGCTCCGCCACTTGCTCCGTCCCTCTCGCACCCCCACGGCACAGTGGGCCAGATGACCGGTGGAAGCGGCCAAACAGTCCAGACGCGTTTTAGGCTCCAGAGTCGCTAAACAGGCCTCGAAGCGAACGTGTGACCCCACCAATGGATTCCTCGTTCGGAGAGCAATCCATTGGTGGGGTCACACGTTCGGTTCGAGTCCCATTTAGCGACTATGCAGCCCAAAACGCGTCTAGAGTTTTGGCCGCCTCCACCGGTCTTCTGGCCCACTGTGCCACGGCACACTCCACGGGTGCGAGAGGGACGGAGCGAGAAGTGCGGACGGCGGAATCGTTCGACAATAGACTGATTCCGGACAGCCGTTTTCGTCGCTTGTCTCTCTCACGGAACGTCCTTTGAGTGTGAGAGAGACAGAGCGACGAAAACGACTCTCGGAATCAGTCTGCAGGACGGCAGAGACTGGCTTCACTGGCGGGCTGCTCGAGGCTACTCGCCGAAGCCTATTACCTGACGACTTAGCCCTGCCGTCTGATTCCGAACACTGCTTCGTCGCTCTGTCTCTCTCGCACCCCTACGGACCGCCCCGTGAGTGCGAGAGAGACAGAGCGACGAAAGCAGTGCTCGGAATCAGACGGCTGCCCGCCCATCATGGCATTGGGGGCTCTTGTAGCGTCAAAGCCACACTGTAAAAAAAGTATTACTGAAATTTCATAATTTTAGTCTGAAGTTTTTAAACAGACTAGTGGTCTGAAAATTCAGAGTAATTATTCAGACCATTCTGTCTGAATTCCAAATTCAGACTACTTGTCTGAAAAATATTTTCAGACTGCTACTCTGAAATATTAAATAAAAGTGCCATCTATAAATCAAAGAGAAAGAAATCAACAAGAGAACAATATGAACCACCAACGTGTGACGGTACCTCCTTTCCACTTTTCATTTGTTCGCTTCGGCCCGGGTTCGAACCGGGACTTTTTGGTTACGAGACGAGCTCAGTACCACTGCGCTACGGGCGCTGCCTGGCGGCCGGGGAAGCCGTGCCGCGTGACTCTCTTCAGAGGATACCAGCTCCTTTCGGCAAGTCCAGAATGCAAGTTCGGACAACTCTTACGGTTAATCTATCGTACACAGACGAATCTGCGTGAAGCACGGGTGTACATTATTATTTCCGATAAATTTATACAACGCCTTACGCCTAGACTTGATTAGTAGACAATCTGTCAAAATTTTCATACCAAAATTATGAAAACAGGTTTCAGGATGACAAGTCTGAAAACTTTATCAGAATTTTCAGACCTTCTGCTTAAAATTCAGACTAACCGGTGTGATCTCAAACTTCAGAGTTCCTAGTCTGAAAATTCAAAGCAACTTTCTGAATTACCGATTCAGACTGCAAAGTCTAAACAAATTGTACTGAAATTTCAGATTTTTTTTTACAGTGCAGCGAGACGTAGGCTAGGCAGGTTGATGCCGAACCGTCTAGTCGCGGTCTCGTCGCTCTGTCTCCCTCGCACTCCCGGGGCGTGCCGTGGGCCCGAAGGGGTATGCGAGAGACACAGACAGTGGCGGATCCAGAGGCGGCCCGGGGGGGGGGGGGGGGGGGGGGGGGGGCAGAGTGACACTTTTTGCCTACCTACAGGGGCAAAGTAGCACTTTTTGCCTAACTTTCAGGCGGCTATCTAGGGGCTATGCGGGGAGGGGGGCAAAAGCCCCCCCCCCCCCCCCCCCCGTATCCGCGCCTGGACACAGAGCGCCCCGCCCGCGGCATGAGGAAAACGCGCCAAATTGGAGCGCGAATGACCGCCAGCACTCTACAAAAAATGTCCTGTCAACGCCGTTAATTTATTACCAATGTTTGCTGTTATGCAATTCACGGCGTTTGCTGGGAACTAGTTCACGGCGTGCACTGTGATCTCGGTTACAGTGTTCACTGTGATCTGGCCACAACAAACGCCGTGAATTGGAGCCTGATTTGGAGCACTTCGGTGCTCAGCGGCATCAAACTCACAGTGTTTACTGTGAACTAGATCACAGTGAACACCGTGAACAAGATCACAGTGAATCGCGTGAGCAGATCACAGTAAACGCTGTGAATTGACCTACAGTGAAAACTGGTAATAAATTAACGGCATTGACAGGACATTTTTGGTAGAGTGAGGTCCGGTCCGGGCACTACTTCAAAGAGAAGCGTGACTCGCACGAGGAAAAACGGCAGGAGTCAGCCAATCCGCTGTCCCTCTCGCACCCCCGCGGGACGCCCCAGGAGTGCGAGAGAGACAGCGCGACTAAATCGGCGCGCGCGGGACAAACGCCACACAGACACGACGACAACACGGTGCGCTTCATTGGAACCAATCGCTCGCGATTTCTCCGGCTCCGCTCGGATCAAAGCAATACTTGCACCAGGAGAGGAAGGGAGGGAGGAAAAGAGAAAGAGAGAGAGCACGCACAAAACAACATTAACCAAGCAAGGCAGAAAAATTTAGCACCGAAATTTAGTGCCCAAAAATATACTTAACCCAAGAGACCAAGATCTCTAAATCAGCGAAAATTTTCACTACCGCTGAGGTTTGAAATATTTTTTGAGTGAGGCCCCCCTCCCCCCACACGCGAGCGCGCGCAAAAAGGACTACGTGTCCGAAATTTTAAAGAAACCTTGCAATTAATTTTAACTTTAAAGACAATCATTTTGAAATTTCATGAAAAGGTGTCAAGTCTGAAAAAATTTGTCATAATTTTTAGATATTGTTTTCAACAGTAAAGCCTTGCACCTCGTTTGCCCCGAAACGTTATGGAGTTCACCGGCGCAAAAAGAAGTCTCGCAATTGGCTCAACGAAAAAAAAATGTGCGGATGCGCTTTCAGCTTCAGAAGTTTTTTTTCCACGGGCAAAAAATGTACCGGCACTATCTCTCGAAGCAATAAAAGGATTCGGGCCGGGTCGGGGAGGACTAGACGCGATGCAACAAAATAAACACACACGCCATAAAAAGAGCATCATTGAAGAAATAAAAAATACGCTTGGATAAATACCCCGAAACAGAGGCAGGGATATCGAAGCGAAGGTCTGCACAACCCAATGAACCCAGTGAGAGAAGCAGGACGCGGCAAGCGAGAACAAAGGTGGCACTTTTATCGTGAAGGTCCCCTCGGCAGAGAAAAAGGCTCTCATGCAGCACGCTCTTGAGGCTCACAAAAGGGACGAGGGGTCGACAACTCCCCTTAGCCGTGTACGAGGGAGTATACGTGTATTACCAGTAATATAGGTAATATATAGTAATATATAGTAATATAGGCGAGGGGGGAACAACAGCTTCCCACACTCACACTCATTGGACAAAATTTGACCACATTACAAAGAAAAGTAGTTTGTGAACATAGTATTTTGAGCATACATAAGCTTACATAGAAAATACTTCGTAATTTACGAACTATTTCTTCGTATAACAAAGTAAATTAGTTTGTTAAATGCATGCTCAAAATAGGGCAAAATAGGCAAAATAGAGTGTAAGGTTGTTTTGCTGCTGTGCATATGTTTTGCAGTGCACCCGCTCCCGCCCCCATCCCCGGCATGCCAAATATTCACCACACTGACAGCTGGCGCTGCATGGCGAGCTTGGTCTCGATCTGCTCGATGGGGAACTGCGGCACCTCGTAGGGCGCCGAGATCTCGTTGGGCAGGTCCTCGAGGTGCATGCGCCCGGGCCGCTCCAGGTCCATCTTGGAGAAGCCGTTGGGGGCGCTGGGGCTGTCGGGCCCTGCCGGACAGAAACACACACGTCAGCACCCAGCCTCGAATGCCGCGAGAAAACAGTGGGCCAGAAGACCGGCGGAGGCGGCCAAAACGCTAGACGCGTTTTGAGCTCCTGAGTCGCTAAACGTACACTGCACAGTAAACTTCTTACGGATACGTCCTATCTGTATTACGGACATTTTTGTGCAATTGCAATTACGGATAGATTTTGCTTGTAATACGGATGAAATCATCCATATTACAAAGAGTTTTACGTCCGTAACATACAGACGAAAATATCCGTATGGTACGGACGTAAAACTCTTTGTAATACGGATGATTTCATCCGTATTACAAGCAAAATCTATCCGTAATTGCAATTGCACAAAAATGTCCGTAATACAGATAGGACGTATCCGTAAGAAGTTTAGTGTGTGGTGAGACAAAGGCATAAAAATTATGCCCTTTAAGGGCGTAAACTATTTACGCCCTTAAAGGGCATAAATCGTTAATGCCTTTGGGAAGGGCATTAAAATTTTGCTTGAAATTCCTATACCATTTACGCCCTTCCCAAGGGCATAAAACGATTTATGCCCCTGGAAGGGCGTAAAAGAGTATTTATGCCCTTAAGGGCGTAATTTTTATGCCTTTGTTTTACCAGTGTAGGCCTCGAACCGAACGTGTGACCCCCACCAATGGATTCCTCGTTCGCGGAGCATTCCATTGGTGGGGTCACACGATCGGTTCGAGTCCTATTTAGAGACTCTGGAGCTCAAAACGCGTCTAGAATTTTGGCCACCTCCACCGGGCCTCTGGCCTATTTTACATTATACACTGTGAAACCAAGTTAAAATACAGTGATGCGAGGAATTTTCTGTCTTCTCGATTGGAAGTGCGGAGTTTGCAGTCTCCCTCCACACTTCTTCTCGTAGTCTTGCGAGGAAATTCCCCATTATACGAGGGAAAATTGCGCAAGCTTGACAAGAACGTGCTTTCCCTTAAGAAGGTTTTTCTTAGTATCTCATAATGAAAATACAAAAAAAAAAGCAAGAAATATTGCTTTGCGTTATGCTTGCGCCAAATTCACTGCGAGCTCAAATTTTCTCGTAAAACATTTTGAGTGCATCCGTAAGAGAATGTGACAGCGCAACAAGGACTTCTATACTGTCTTACGCTGAAAGCCTCATCATCATCATCAACGCTGTTAGGCCTGTCTGCTTTAACAAATTATGGTGGAGACTTTCTTCAAAACACAAAAGAAAAGTATCTGCAAGGTACAATGAATTTTCAGGGGTAAGTTACAAAGTCAGACGCTGCGCCATAGAAGAACGTTCACCACCATAAAACCGACTCGTCACCATCGGACTTTTACAGTGCGTGCGCGGGATCGAGTCCACCTGAACTGATTTTGTGGCCCATGGAGACGCGGCGGTAGCGTGCTCGACTCCGACAGCGTAGGTCGCGGGTTCGATTCCCGGCGGTCGCGTTTTTTTACCGTGAGGGCGGCCTGGACGGGGCGAACCGGGAACCGACATGTCGGACGGGCAGTAAGTCACTGACTGGCGCGTCTCTCCTGGGCGGCGCGTCGCATCCTGCGGATTGAGAGTCGTTTTCGTCGCTCTGTCTCTCTCGCACCAATGGAGCGTCCCGTATGGGTGCGAGAGAGACAGCGAAGAAACGCCGCTCAGTCCGCCGAGCAACAACAGATAACGGCAAGGCGTCGTGGCTTCTCTCTCTCTCTCGCAGCCCGACGGGATGCCCCACGAGTGCGAGAGAGACAGAGCGACGGTCGGCCCGCTCACGTGGCGACGGCAGTGCATCGTCTATCTATCTATTTGGGAAGGGCTTTCCAATTACTCGTTCCACGACTCCCCAGGCGATCCGCCGGCCGCCGCACAGTGGGCCAGAAGACCGGTGGAGGCGGACAAAACTCCAGACGCGTTTTGAGCTCCCGAACCGGACGTGTGACCCCACCAATGGATTCCTCGTTCGGAGAGCAATCCATTGGTGGGGTCACACGTTTGATTCGAGTCCCATTTAGCGACGCTGGAGCTTTGTCTGCTAGAGTTCGGTCTGCCTCCACCGGTCTTCTGGCCCACTGTGCGCGCTCCTTCCGAACTATCGCCCTCCTCACTCCGTCTCTCTTTCTTCCTCCCCCACGGGACGCTCCATGAGAGCGAGCGAAACAGCGCGACGGAAGCATTGTTCGGAGCGAGCCTGCCGGCGCACGGTGGGCCAGACGACCGGCGGAGGCGGCCAAAACTCTAGACGAGTTCCAGTGTCGCTAAATGGGACTCAAATGGAACGTGTGACCCCACCAATGGATTGCTCTCCGAACGAGGAATCCATTGGTGGGGTCACACGTTCGGTTCGAGGCCTGTTTAGCGACTCTGGAGCTCAAAACGCGTCGCGAGTTTTGTCCGCCTCCACCGGCCTTCTGGCCCACTGTGGCCCGCACAGGTAGGCCAGCCAGCTGCGAGCGTGCCCGGCTTGCTGCAAGCCCGGGGGAACGCCCCGGCCAGCAGTGTAGGATGAACGCTACTCGGCCGAGTAGAGTAGGGCACCGGGGAGGCACCGGGGAGCGGGGGCACCACGCCACCACACTCTCCAACCTCACTCAGTGAAAAGGGTTCCTGCTTTCCCCAGGGACTCTCTAGTAATCACCCATGCATTTAATGCAAGGCTGTACCTGGGAAAACCAGGAACCGTTTTCAGAGTGCAGAAACTACTTTGAGCGTCACAAAGAAAAGGAGCTTCACTGAGAATGAAAAAGTCATGATCAATACCTAATTTTGGGCGAGGTTTACTTTCTCACCCAAATTTGGGCGAGGAATGTTTCCTCGCCCAATTTGGGCGAGGAAAGCTTCCTCGCCCAATTTTGGGTGAGGAAGGGTGTATCAGCTCCCTATATAGCACCATAGTATTATGACCCAAATTTGGGTGAGGAAACTTTCCTCACCCAAAATTTGGGCGAGGAAAATTTCCTCACTCGAATTTGGGTAATAAAGAATTCCTCACCCAAAATTTTAGTCATGATCATGACTCTTTCATTCTCAGTGTTGTCACGTACTTTGAGCTTAGCAAGAAAATACTTCGTCATTTGCAACCCATTTCTTCGAATAACTAACTGAATATTTTGTACCTTACATGAGCTGAAAAGACTTCGTACCGTAAGATTTCTTTCAAGTGTACATGGAAGGACCATGCAGGCAGATAGTGCACTATCAAACCATGTGTGGCGAACTCCACTCTTCCCGGTGCGAAGTAACTCTCTCGAGTTCTCCACACTGGGAAATGCACACTAAACTTCTTACGGATACATCCTATCTGTATTACGGACATTTTTGTGCAATTGCTATTACGGATAGATTTTGCTTGTAATACGGATGAAAACATCCGTATTACAAAGAGTTTTACGTCCGTAACATACAGACGAAAATATCCGTATGGTACGGACGTAAAACTCTTTGTAATACGGATGATTTCATCCGTATCACAAGCAAAATCTATCCGTAATTGCAATTGCACAAAAATGTCCGTAATACAGATAGGATGTATCCGTAAGAAGTTTAGTGTGTGTGGAGTTTGCAGTCTCCACACTTCAAGTGCGAGTGGTCTCAGGGCCCCCTTCTCTCTTGGCATGGTGAAAGGTGGAAAACTCCACACTTTGAAGTGTGGAGAGTGTAAACTCCGCACTTCCAAATGCGGAGACTGCAAATTCCACACCTGCGCATTTCGAGGGTAGAGTTCTCCTGGTTTCACAGTGACGCGGGAACCAGGGGAACCAACTCTCCGGGGCAGGGCGACGCCGTGGAGGCGGAGCGAGGCGGAGGGGCCCGTAACGCGACTGCGGCCCGGCATCCATGTTGCACGAGGCGCTAAGCGAGGGGACCGAAGGGAACACGGCCGGCCGGCGCGCGCCCACACTGCTCAAGTATGTATGCACGGCGGCTCGGACGCTTTCATCAAGGCGGCCCAACAGGTTCAAGGTCACGGCGGAGGGTGCCAAGGCCGCGAGCGGTTCCGGATGAAAGAGCGAGGTGGAGCAAAGCGAAGGTAAGGAAGGAGGGGGGGCCTTGGAAGCCATCCGCCCCTCCATGGGTGGCAATGGCCTTCGCACAGTGGGCCAGAAGGCCGGTGGAGGCGGTCAAATTTCTAGACGCCTTTTGAGCTCCAGAGTCGCTAAATGGGACTAGAACCGAACGTGTGACCCCACCAATGGACTTCTCTCCGAACGATGTCCGTGCGCCGCCAGGACTCCAGAGGCTCCGTGGCCTGGAGCGCCCGGCAGGCCGGGCCAGCCGCTCAACAGGCGTGCGCGCGGGCAGCCCACCCGCCACTTCGCAGGCGCTCCGCTCCGCCGGTAGACTCGCTCTGTCTCTCTTGCACTCATGTGACGTCCCGAGTGGGTGCGAGAGAGACGGAAGGACAACAGCGCTAGCCGTCTTGTCAGGTTAGAGGGTGGCATACGCGCAGTGCTTTGTCGCCCTGTCTCTCTCGCATCCCCAGGAAACGTCCCATGAGCGCGAGAGAGACAGCGACAGTTCAGAAAGACCTGGCTTGGTGCAGATGCACTGAGAATACAAACGCTACCACACGTGCTTTCACAGCGCTTGGGGTCTCAGTGTTGCTATGCTCCGTTCCGTGGGCCCGGCCGTGGAAACAGAAGCCTCGTCTCACCGTGCCCCGTGCACCGACTCCGAGAGTCGCTTTCATCGTTCTGTCCCTCTCGCACCTATGCGGGACGCCCCATGAGTGAGACTGAGAGAGACAGGGCGAGACAGGGTGACGACAACGATTCTCGGAATCAGTCTGCTGTTTGAGGTGCGTTGGCACGCCTCCGCCTGCAGCTTGCCTGCGGCGTGGGCGGGCGGTGCGTCGCATTTTTTTCTCTCCCCTTCTTTATCTCTCTCCTTCTCTATCCCTCTTTCTGTCCCTCTTTCTCTCCGAGCTCCGCACAGTGGGCCAAAAGACTGGTGGAGGCGGCCAAAACTCTAGACGCGTTCTGAGCTCCAGAGTCGCTGAACAGGACTCAACCGAGCGTGCGACCCCACCAATGGATTCCTCGTTCGGCGAGCAATCCATTGATGGGGTCACACGTTCGGTCCGAGCCCATTTCAGCGACTCTGGAGCTCAAAACGCGTCTAGAGTTTTGGCCGCCTCTACCAGTCTTCTGGCCCACTGTGCACCGCCTCACAGAGGCACCCCCGCGCCGTGATGCAGGTAGAGGCCATCTTTTAATCAGGTTACCCTGCCTGCATCATCCCCACCGGCCAATCGGCGCTCTCTCTCTCTCTCTCTCTCTCTCTCTCTCTCTCTCTCTCTCTCTCTCTCTCTCTCTCTCTCTCTCTCTCTCTCTCTCTCTCTCTCTCTCCCTCCCTCGCTCTCTCTTCCATACAGGAGCGCTCAAAAGAGCGACAGAGACAGACGAATCACGCGATCCAGACTCAGCCTGTGCAACGTGATTGTTTCATGAGCGTCCACTTACCGCCTTGCCGGCCAATCATGCTTATAATGTCATCGTCGTCACCTCACCCCTAAAAGGTGGCGGTGCGGCATTATGCAACCCTCCCCTGGAACTTCCAGTTATGGACGAAATCGAGTTACGGTGCGCCCGGCAGTCTGCCGGCGGAGGGAGGGACAAGCACTCGTCGAATCTGCTGTCCACTTCACAGAAAAACCAAACGTGGTCCAACGCACCACTGGTGTGGTCAGATGGGTGCCATTTTGACCACATCAGTTGGTGTGGTCTAGACCACGTTTAGCTACGTTTGGTGTGGTCTAGACCACGTTTGGTGCGTTTGGTGTGGTCTAGACCACACCAACTGGATTTGGTCAAAATGGCACCCATTTGACCACACCAGTTGGTGCGGTCTAGACCATGTTTGGTTTTTCTGTGTTCACGGCGAAACCAACGCTCCGGGTTTCCCAGGCGCACCCTGGAAAAACAGCGCATTTTGCGCAGTTTTTTCCAGGGTGCGCCTGGGAAACCCGGAGCGTTGGTTTTGCCGCGTTGCGCGCCCGAACCGAAATCTTTTGGAAGACCGAAATGTTTCCCGAAAGATGGCAAAAAGCAAGCGAATTTTGGGCGTGAACTCGGCCGAAATCTGGCGAAATCCTTTTCAACATTATTGGTGACCACAAGATTTGAGTGCCCGATCACAACCACGGCCACGAAACAGTGTACCACCGGCCAAGGCGGCATTCCCGGTTGGCGGGGTCGGCGCTCCAGTGGCGCGACGCCGCCGCCCGCACTCCTCGCGCTGTCTCTCTCGCACCCCTGCGGCACACTCCGCGAGTGCGAGAGAGACAGCGCGGCGGGCGGGCGGCGGCGTCGCGCGACTGGGCGCCCTTCTGTCTGCGCGTCACAAGCCCGCGGCCGCGCATGGATCCGATTTCTGCTGACTGGACGATTGCACTTCGCCCGTTTTTTCTCCGCCGCCGCCAGTACCACCTCGGCCGTCCAGCAGAACAGAGGTGTGTTCGCCGTCCCTCAAAGGGCCAGGTCTAAACTCGAGACGCGTTTCGAGCTCCAGCGTCGCTAAATGGGACTCGAACCGAACGTGCGACCCCACCATCCTCGTTCGGCGCGCAATCCATTGGTGGGGTCACACGTTCGGTTCGAGTCCCATTTGGCGACTCTGGAGCTCACAACCCGTCAGGGATTCTGACCGCCTCCACCGGTCTTCTGGCCCACAGTGCGTCGGAGAGACGACACCGGTTGCTTCAGAATGGACGCCCACCTGCGCAACGCCACTGCAGTGGCCCTCAAGCTGGACCACGTCATGCGACGCATGCCGCAACTGCTGCCCTGCGTGCGCTACGCGGCGGACTATGCGCACTCCGTCCTGGCCGAGGAGGAGGTGGAGCGAGAATTCGGCATGTGCGAGGTGTACGTGAGCCACCAAGACGATGGTAAGTCGAACGGCAAATTTTATACTGTGCCAAGGCAAAGGCAGTGCCTCGTGGGATTCGCAGGCCCACCCTGGAAAGAAAGGGGCTCTGCTTTCCAGGAGCCGCCTGGGAAATTCAGGCATTGCCTTTGCCGAGTAGGCGTTCCAGTCACCAAAGGGAAAATGGGAAAAGGGGGGGTTACCTTTTGGATCCGGCTCAAACTTGGGACTACGGGATTTCCGAAACTTGGGATTATGCACACTAAATGTTATGTACAATTTTGTCCCAGCCGAAAATCCCGGTTACGGTTCCGAGTACGGTTACGACCGGGATAGGATTCCGACCGGGATACGATTCCGGCCGGAGTACGATTACGACCGTAATTTCGGACATTTCCGGTTACGACTACGATCGTAACCAGGAAGGGTTTACGACCGTAACTGACCATTCCGGTCGGAGTACAAAGTGTCACAAGACATCAAGTTTGTCTTCTGTGGTGCTCCATCAAGAAGAGATCCGCGTGAAATATGCATGACCACTGGGTAAACTTTGCGAGCTACGCCCAATTTTGACTTCAGAAATTTATTTTAAGTTACCGTTCACAAGTTATGGAGTGTTTCTAAAAATTGGCTGGAGACTTAAACGCATGGGACATGCTTCTTCGAGTCCGGCCTCGGACCCGGATCTGGTCCGATCGTAACCGGAATGGGTCCGGTCGTAACCGGAACGAGTGTCCGGTCGTAACCGGAACGAGTCCGGTCGTAACCGGGACGTGACCGACCGTTACCGTAAATTAGGTCCGGTTTCCGATCGCAACCGGAAAATTTGGGGCGATTTACGATCGTAAGCGGAGATTTTCTCCGGAACCGTAACCGGGATTTTCGGCTGGGACGTACGAGACATCACAGTTACTAGTGCACACGAAATTTTCGTACAGTTTTCGTACGAAAAACTGCACATTTTTTTTGCTATTTTTGTACAAAATTGCACAAAATTTCGTACAAATTTGTACGAGAAGTTCGTGTGCACAAAAAACAGTGATGTCTCGTACAAAATTTGTACAGAAACATTTAGTGTGTGCGGGCTGCCGAAACGCCACTGACAAAAAGTAACGAGGAAATCTGTCCACAACTTGTGCCCAGAACCCAACATTTTCTGTAGCCTACTTGTCAATCCTCTCCTTCGGGGTTTCTGTGCACCTTACTGGTCAGCAAGTGCCGAAAACAAGAAGATTGATAAAAGGCTACGGAAAATGTTGGATTTAAGGTATACGGAGAATCACGGCAAAAAATAACTGACTTTTCCGTAGTTCTTTTGCCACTGTGTGGGAGGAAGATCCGACCCCAAGTCCAGATTTTTCAGAGATTTTTTGAAAACTCCCAAAAATGGCTGAATTTGAGGGTTTGGTACTTTTAGGTTTGATTGAAGCTGCTGACAAAAAAATCTACCGACTCCGTCTTAAGGAGAAAATTGCGCTCTTTAGAATGCCGTTTCGAGGGGGTCCGTAACGCGTTTCGTTTCGCCGCAGTAATACTTAAAAGTTGGCAAATCGCTAATTTTGAACAAAAAAACAAAAAAGAGTGTTTTTCCTATTTATTAGCTTCTATCTTGCAAACCGCTAGAGATGGGGCGAAACGCGGGATTATCCTTTTAAAAAGGAACCGAGAAACGAAGTTTGAGCCAGACGAGCCAGGTGTGTGTGTGTGTGTGTGTGTGTCTGTTGTGTGTGTGTCTGTTGTGTGTGTTGTGTGTGTGTTGTGTGTGTGTGTGTGTGTGTGTCTGTTGTGTGTGTGTGTGTGTGTGTGTGTGTGTGTGTGTGTGTGTGTGTGTGTGTGTGTGTGTGTGTGTGTGTGTCTGTTGTGTGTGTGTCTGTTGTGTGTGTGTCTGTTGTGTGTGTGTGTGTGTTGTGTGTGTGTGTTGTGTGTGTGTGTGAGAGTGAGAGAGAGAGAGAGAGAGAGAGAGAGAGAGAGAGAGAGAGTGTGTGTTAGTTTTCGTCGCTGACGTGCGTCTCACAGTGTGTGTGTCTTCGTTACAGGCAAAACGCTGCGAGAGTGGTTAAAATTCTATGTCACTGAGCTCTTAGAGAGTCTCACTGCAGCTGTCGACTTGGCTGAGAAGGGCACCCCGTCCTACGAACGGCTGTTTAATCTGATGGATTACATCCGTATTTTACGTTCCAAAATTCCATAGCTCATTACATTGTATTTGCAAATTGAATAAAACTGATCTTTATTGTAATTTCTGCATTTCCATCAAAGAAGCATTTACCCTTCTACATCCCCAAAATATTGAGTGAACCATTCATTGATAATGTACGAGTCAACCTTCTATTCATTTCAATTCAAACTTAGTTGGTATAGAATTTCTCTTTCGAGAAGGGCGACCGGCGAACGAAAAGATAAAGGCTAAACCACAAAGTGTAGAAGAACAAACCAGGCGCGGGTGCATGAGGGGAGGGGACGCTCCCGTCCCGTCACCCCCTCCTGAAGGTGGCGAAGCTGCCTGAAAGGTAGGCAACTACACACTAAATGTTTTTGTACAAATTTTGTACGATACATAACAGTTTTTTTTGTGCACACGAACTTTTCGTACAAATTTGTACGAAATTTTGCACAAACAGGGGAAATTTGTGCAGTTTTTCGTCCAAAAATTGTACGAAAAGTTCGTGTGCACAAAAAACTGTGATGTCTCGTACAAAATTGTACATAACATTTAGTGTGTAGGCAACTTTTTGCGACATCGCTTCAAAAAAGGAGTAAGCGCCAGCACGCGTCGTTTCGCTTGCGTTTTACCAGTGAGTAGGAACTTGAGAGTGGGGGGCTCAGAACTTTTGATTCCGAGAGCCGCGTTTTCGCCGCTCTGTCTCTCTCGCACTGATCCTGAATGGATGCGAGAGAGACAGGGCGACGAAAAAGGCTCTCGGAATCAGCCTGCTGAGCGCTTGCAGCACCGCACAGTGGGCCAGGAGACCGACGGAGGCGGCCAAAACTCGCGTTTTGAGCACACGAGTCGCTAAACAGGACTCGAACCGAACGTGTGACCCAATACCAATGCATTCCCCGTTCGGAGAGCAATCCATTGGTGGGGTCCCACGGTCGGTTCAAGTCCTGTCTAGCGACTCGGGAGCTCAAAACGCGTTTCGAATTTTGGCCGCTGCCACCGACCTTCTGGCCCACTGTGTGTGCGAGAGAGACAGCGCGGCGTGCGGGTGGCGGAGTCGCGCGACAGGGCGCCCTGCTTCCCCGCGCGTCACAAGCCCGCGGCCGCGCGGATCAGATTTGTGCTGAATGGACGATCGCACCTTGCCTTTTTTCTCCACCGCCGCCAGTGGAGCATCCCGTATAGGTGCGAGAGAGACAGAGCGACGAAAGCGACTCTCGGAATGAGCCTGCCGAAGCACTCGGTGCAGTATGCAAGCACCGTGGCGTCACAGTGGGCCAGAAGACCGGTGGAGGCGGCCAAAACTCTAGACGCGTTTTGAGCTCCAGAGTCGCTAAATGGGACTTGAACCGAACGTGTGACCCCACCAATGGATTCCTCGTGCGGAGAGCAATCCATTAGTGGGGTCACACGTTCGATTCGAGTCCCATTTAGCGACTCTGCAGCTCAAAACGCATCCAGAGTTTTGGCCGCTGCGCCGGTCTTCTGGCCCACTGTGGGCGTACGGTTTGGTGCTTGGCCTTTGGCTGCCTGCCTGCCTGACTGGCCCGCGCCCAACCCCGTCAACACGATTAGACGCACACGGCGGAGGGCCGCGCTACGCGCACCGACAACGTCAAAACGAACACGGCACCGCGCACCTGCGACTGCCAACCGATCCCGAACAGCAATTTGTCGCCCTCTCTCACTCACTCACTCACTCACTCACTCACTCACTCACTCACTCACTCACTCACTCACTCACACACACACCACACACACACACGCTCTCTCTCTCTCTCTCTCTCTCTCTCTCTCTCTCTCTCTCTCTCTCTCTCTCTCTCTCTCTCTCAGTCAGTCTGTCCGGTTTTCTATCCGGTTGTCTGTCCGTCCGTCTGCCCGTCAGTTTATCCGTCCGTCAGTTCGTCTGTTCGTCTTACAGTGTGTCCGCCAGTCCGTCCGTCCGTCTGTCCATCCCAGTCCGTCCGTCAGTTCGTCTGTCCGTCTTACGGTGTGTCCGTCTGTCCGTCCGTCTCCCTCTCGCTTGACGGCGACAAGGACCAAACTGCCGAATGCAAACGCGGAAGGCAGTGAGGCGCGCGCCAAATGCTTGCTAATTGGCGGCCAGGCGCTGCAAGGCCCGCAAGGTCGCCGCGCTTCGTCGCCCCGTCTCTCTCGCACCGCGGCGGGGCGCCTCGTGACTGCGAGAGAGACGGCGCCACAGGACCACAGTTAGGAACGAGTTGGCTGGGCCAGGCGTCGCCGAAACGGACACAAGAGATTCTACGCAAAGCGACGCAGAGTGCGACCAAGCGGCCGAGTGCGCGGAGGCGTCGCACAGTGGGCCAGAAAGGCCGGTGGAGGCGGACAAAACCCTGGACGCGTTTTGAGCTCCAGAGTCGCTAAATGGGACTCGAACCGAACGTGTGACCCTACCGAACGTGTGCTCTCCGAACGAGGAATCCATTGGTGGGGTCACACGTTCGTTTCGAGGCCTGTTTAGCGGCTCTGGAGCTCAAAACGTGCCTAGAGTTTTGTCCGCCTCCACTGGCCTTCTGGCCCACTGTGCGTCGCCCCGAGAGGGCGGAGCGGAGACGCACCGGTAGGCAAACAAGAGCCACGTGGCCTTGTCAAGGCCAAAATGGCGCTCAACGAGGCTGAGGTAGGCAATCCACCAACACACTCAACGAGGCTGAGGTGCAATGCCCCTAAACACACAACGAGGCTAACAGGCAACATGCTCAACTAGCAGTAACAACTCCTCCGCCACGGTCAACCTGACCGAGGAAGGCGCAACGCAACACGCCTTTGCCTTCGCAACATGCTCAACCAGGGTGGAGCGGAGTGGGGCGGGCAACCTCGACCAAGCAGAGGGTTGCAGAGGTACAGGCAGCCTCAGCCAAGTGCAGCCCGCCCACCTGCTTTGCAGCGAGCCCCGCCAGTGTGGTGGCACCATTTTCCACTGGCCGCGTCTTCCCTCATTTTCCCCAGCGCCGTGCATCCTCCAAATTACGGCCGTGTCCACACCGCCGAGCCGCGGCGCCGCGCTTAGCCAAACCAAACAGCGACCTGTTTTGCCGCTCCAAATACCCCCCCTCCCCCTCACTCTGAGCCCCTCCCCCCCCCCTCCCTCTCCCCACCGTTCCCCTCGCGGCTCATGGTCCAATGTCAGAACGCGCCGACAGTACGTACCAAGTATTTTGAGCACGAACGGTAAACAAACCACCTATTTAGTTTCTTGCAAGAAAAGTTAGTTCGTAGACTCGGTTCGTAAATTACGAAATGGTTTGGTCAGCGAATAGTGTGCTCGGCCGTCGCCGTCAGCACCAGGCGCGGATACAGGGGAGGGGAGGGGGGGGGGGGGTGGCAATGGGGTTTTTGCCCCCCCCCCCCCATAGCCCCTAGATAGCCGCCTGAAAGGTAGGCACAAAGTGCGACTTTGCCCCCCCCCATAGGCCGCCTCTGGATCCGCCACTGGTCAGCATCAATCCTAACATTGCACCGTCCACTTTCAACTCAGGGCTTTGACGGATTTTTTTCGAGAACAGCATGAGAACAGGCGTGTTGTAAAGACAGGCGGCCGTGCGTTGGCAAGTGCTGCCGGCCCCAGCGAGTGCGGGGGACCGGGGGGACCGTCCAGGCTCTGGCACGGCCCCTCATGTCAGCCGTCTGATTCCGAACACTGCTTTCGTCGCTCTGTCTCTCTCGCACTCATGGGGCGGTCCGTAGGGGTGCGAGAGAGACAGAGCGACGAAGCAGTGTTCGGAATCAGACGGCAGTCAGGTCGCCGCCCTTCGTCCCGACTCGGGCGCAACAACGGAGATGCCAAACGGCGAGCGGCACGGGCAGAGGGACAAGGGCAAGAAGATCGCGGTACAGTGAATCAGAAGACTGGGGGAAGCTGCCCAAATGCCGGACGCGTTTTGAGCTCCAGATTCGCTAAATGGGACTCGAACCGGGAGTGTGACCCCTCGGAATCCGCCCGGTGACGGGCGCCGCAGGGAGGTCCGGGGGGGATCGGGGGAGGGAAAGGGGGGTGGGGGAAGTGGGCGTCACCCCCTGGAGGTAAGCAACAAGTCGCACTTTCCCCTGCAGGTAGGCCACTTTCGCGACATCCCCCCTGAACCCGTCTCTGAATCCACCCTTGAGGAGCACAGTGGGCCACAAGACCGGTGGAGGCGGGCAAAACTCGAGACGCGCTTTGAGCTCCAGAGTCGCTAAACAGGACTCGAATGGAATGTGTGACCCCACCAATGGATTCCTCGTTCGGAGAGCAATCCATTGGTGGAGTCACACGATCGGTTCGAGTCCCATTTAGCGACGCTGGAGCTCAAAGCGCGTCTCGAGTTTTGCCCGCCTCCACCGGTCTTCTGGCACACTGTGCGGGCTCCTTCCGAACAATCACCCTCCTCGCTGCGTCCTCACAGCCCGTCCGGGGTTTTGACCGCCTCCGCCGGTCTTCTGGCCCACTGTGGGGCGGTGACGCGGGGTTACCTGGCCGGGGGCTGCGGGGCGAGGCGGGCCGCGGGCTGCCGAGGATGGGCAGGGGCGAGGGCAGGGGCGCCAGGGCGGGGCCGCGCGGCGAGGCGGGGCGCTGCTGGGCGGATGGCTGCGGCGACAGCAGGGGCGACGACGGCAGCGGCGACAGCGGCCGGTTGCTGCCGCGGTACATGTTGTTGGGGGAGATGGGGCGGAAGGCGTCGCGGTCGTCCACGAACGTGTCCGGCATGCGCAGTCGCAGCGCGGGGCCGCCCAGGCCGCCCAGGCCGCCCAGGCCCAGCGGCTCGTCCTCGGACGACATGCGGCGCGGCGTCAGCCCGCGCGAAGACATGGCGAAGGCCTTGCCGAAGGCCGCGAGCCTGCCCGGGGCCGGGCTGCACCGCAAACACGGACTAGACGAGCACCGCGCGGAGGCAGGGCTGCACCACCAAACAGACTACACTGTCAAACCGAGATCCGCACTTGGAATGCGGAGGTGTGGCATTTTCAGTCCCTGCACTTGGAAGTATACTCTGACCAGAAAACGAAGAGTCCTGGGTTCTCGCGGTCGAGGGCAACCTGCAATGCTAGCCAAGGCGGCAGATGCCATAAACCGCGAG